TTCATCACGCAGGGTACACAGATCAATCTGCTTTCCAGATTTTTAAGACTACATCCAATCCTACTTAGACCAGAGTTTCAAAGTAGGTGCTGCACAGATAACAACCGATGTTACGTAACATAATTTTTCATTTCAGTTTTCATTGCACCCTTTTTCCACCTCTCCTAACATTTTTATCATATTTAAAAAGTCTGCTATTACCAGCAATATACAACTAAAATTCTAGCAATCCATTACTAGTAATCTGCAGTTGTGAGCCTTAATTCCTAGAGTTCATATCCGCATTATTTCTACACCACTTGCTGTAACTCACTTGCAAATACACAGCTGTGGAACCAGGAAAAATACCATGGAGAGAGTATATTCTAATTAACAGTCACTGTTTTAACTGTTGCTTCAATACCTTTATTTGACTAATAGCAATAGTTTCAACAGATTGAAAGTAGCATGATGTTATTGAAACCACCTTTTGCTTTGACTCATAAAAACTGCAGTTCTGAGTGTTGTTGGTGTGTTAGTTGGCAGGGAATGTTGATTCTCCGGTGTCATCTGGTGCAAGGTGGAGTTGCCTCCACTAAAAAGTGATGCACCATATCAACTAATACTAATGTCATTTTAGATCTTTCTTAGACATTGGTGGTCCTTAGTACTGATTCACTGTGCTCCATTAAAATTTATAAATAACTGCCCTACCCTTCCCTCTCCATTTTACTTAATCATGCCACGATTACTTTTGTGTATAGTGCCTTTATGTATTTAAGCATTTCATTTGTTTCAGGAAACATCCAAGTTTCCAATCACTACATTTTCAATTATTTGAAAATTGGATTTCAAAACTTTCAATCCAGCACAGTAATCTCATCACTTTTCTAATTTGTCTTGCATTTTCCCCAGCATTGAATAAAATGGATGAACCCCCTAATAACGAAAGGACTAACTCTGCAATAAAGCACTAAAATACTTAAATTGAGATATATTGTGCAAAGCTGTCTTGACAGACCTCAACAACTTTATTATCATCGAAGCAATCTAATTCTCAAAAACCTGAGGCTCATCAAATCTGTGTGAAATTTAGTTATTATCTGTTGATTAATAGCTTTAAATTAATTCTTACCAATTCAGACATCCAAGCTTAAATGACAGGACAAAATAGATCACTTTACCATTTAGAACAGACCTGCCTTATTGGGATTTTTAGCTATTCCTAACTACCAGTGGGAAGCATGGGACTTTTCCTTGGGTTGCACCTGGTCTTTTTGTCATGCATGATATGAACGGCATTTAAAATTTCTATCAGCTTTAATGGGGTAATTATCCTTAGCTCCAACACATGACATTAAATTTCTGAAACAGAAAACTATTCTAAAGGAGAGCACCTTACATAACTAAGACCGTGAAGCCAAGAGAAGACCACAGAAAAATCTATGTTTTAAAAGGTATATCTATTTCCATGTGTGACAACTATCGCCGCAGCTTCTGTTTAAGACTTCTGTATCCAAACCACATCTGAACATCTCTCTCATTATTTACTTCTCATTCCCTTTTCCTACAGGACTGCAATAAGCATAGGAGAAACAAATCCCCTGTGCTCACATATTCATGGCCTAAAGATATCACACCTTGGAATTATTAAAGTAAGGATGCAACAATATGTTGCATTTGAGATTTTTCTGTTTTGTTTTGGGGGGAGGAATTATAATTTTATCTTGTTTAAGAGTCTGTGAATTATTTGACTTTTATTAAGCTAATACTATAATTCTTATTACACACACATTTATAAAATGATGGATTTATACAATAGTATAATTATTGTCAACTGCACCTGTGTAAATGGAAAACTGCTTTCAGATGTCTTAGCAGTTCTCCTATGGCACTAAATATAGAGCTTAGAGGTATATAATAAGTTTTCAGAATGTTAAAAACACAGTCACTTTTCCATCAAACTATCGACTGTCTCAGAGAAGAATATCCTACCCCCCCCCCCGATTTGTGCTATTATAAAACATTGTACTATCACAGTCTAATACAAAGCACCAACTGTATACAAAAGCAATAGCTGCATTTTGGAGTTCTTTGTATTGCTCAGAACGACATCCTGATGGTATCATTTAGCTCATCATGACATTCCATCAATCAAAATCCAGTTTTAATTACACACCATTCTGCTGCTTCTCCCAGAGCAAACACAGAGGACATGCAACGACCTATTTCAATTAAAACACATACTTTATAGAATTAAAAATAGGTTGGAAATCACTTTTAAATCAGCTCTCAGCCTGTCAATTAATGTTCTGAACCCCTGCTATTGACCCAGTACTGTACAAGCTGTTATTATGCACTGTCCTACATATCATCTGTTCCCCGGGCTGCTCCGTTCCAGAAAGACAGACAGCTGCAGCAGTATATCCCTGCTCAACCTGAGGACCATCTGACTTTAATTGTAGCACACAGCTTGATGTGGGTCTGGTTATGAGAAGCCAAAGTATCACACTGTAATAATCTGGAAAAGCAGAAACCTGCCAACACAAAGCTGCGAACAGGGAGCATGGGCTGTCTGGCTGGCTGACGGGCTGCAGGAAATATGATTAATGAGCAAGGTATAATGATATCAGGAACCCGATTAGCACCACAAAAAGGTCACAGATCAAAGTAGTATGCATTTCATGAGCTCCAATCGTTGGGTAAGATCTGGGGACTTAAAGAGGTAAACTGAAATGCAAAGGGAAAAAAATATCTGTGCGTGATAGCTTGCCAAACGAGCGCTTAAAATACTATAATCGCTATTCTGTCTGAACCAGGAAGCAGAAAGGAAATATTAACTGAATGAATCAGCCCATGCCACATCGTAGCAAGCCTTTCTTGATAGTATTAGTGAGGAACTGAGCTTTAAGAATTCTTCCTAAACACACCTATTCTACTTAAAAATTAGACAATGCTGGTTTGATGCTGATGGTAACCAATCCACTAAGTATTAACAAGAAAAAGCAACTTAATATTTGCATATAATTTTCTCAGTTTTATTCCACTGCAAAAATGGCAGATTACAGAGGGCAGCCCCCACTCCATCACCAACAGCACCGCTACCACCACAGTAAGTTTAACTACGTCACACAGAAGCAGTTAATGTAATTCACTGGCACAGAGGTTTAAATTTCATGCTACCAAACTGACCAAAACTTGATATCTGAATTACAGAAACACTATCAGGGACCTACAGTGTTACCAAAAGGGATGATGCTTTAATACCATCACTTGATACATTACTTCTTACTTTTGTAATCAGCTTAAGCCTTTAATAACAAAATCTGTCAAATTCATACTTGAAAACTGCATGCTCCTGTAAAAGTTCACCCTGAGAATACAGCAGAAGTGAGGGATATCAAAGAAAGCTTCAAGAAAGGAGGCATAGACTTGGGAAATGAAGGAAGAATGAGAGAATGGTAGGTCCCAGCATACAGAGAAGTGAGGGTGAGAAAAACTTGGCCCAAGGTTAGAGATGAAGAAAAGAAAATTGAGAGCTAAAACCTTAGAAAAGGAGGAAGTGGGAAATGGAGAATAACTTCACAGTGGGGAAAGCCAGATCTGTAATTAATAGAATAAAAACTATATTTTATGTAAAAGCTAAAATACCACAGTTGTGAGAGATCAAGGCCACCATCTGCCTTTGACAAGTCTGGTTAAGAACACAGCTTGTCATTTCTCAGGTTATCCCGAATCCCCAGCACAGGCCAAACTCAAAAAGGTGTCAGGCTATTCCCCTTACTTATTACCTATCACCACAACTGGAAGATCAAAAGCTGTGTTTTAATATGGCTTGGCAAGTAGTCCTGCTAAATTTTAGTGTATTTTTTTTCATACTTCGTTTAAATAAAATTTGCACATGCTTCTTTCTAGATGAAGGAATTCATACAGAAACTAAATTCACACTATATACTTTGAGATTATTATGGTGCACCTACAACTGCCTGCAGAAATCTAGGCCACATAGCACTTCTGAAAACCATGGTGTCGTGTCACCACTGAAAGTGCAGTGTTTAAAGCATTCTGATAACTTCTAAATCCCAGATTTCTTCTGATGTGAAGGTTCTGCAAAGTTATGAATACGAGTTCTGATGTTCCACCAACATTAAAACATTTTCAATTCCTATTTTCGAACACAGGAGTATCAGAATGTTATCCTGATAAGCCTGGAATCTGGAAGGCTTTTGAAAGCTTCCATGCTATAATTCAGTATTTCCAATTAGCTGACTACCACATGAAAACTGCAGCCTAATTTTTCAAGATTTTTTAAGAAAAGCGTCTCTTATTTATTTTAGAACACCATCCATGCAGAATTCTTTTGTTTTGAGAAGAACCTAACACAGCTTTTGAGAACATGCTCGAAAACCAAAAATGACAGCACAACACTTATGCTGTAATTCATTACACTGCCCAGGGGGCACACTGAAGGCAGGCAGTGATAACAACTGGATTTTTCCACTGCAGGGAAAAGTTATACAGGTTGGAGGAATGAAGCAGGTAAAGGAGAATTTGGTTTAATTTCGTTCAAAAAAAAGGTTTTGAAAAATATCACTTTAATGGAAGAAATGAAAAAAAAACCTTCTTTCCCAAGGTGTTCACTGATCGTTGGAGTTAAATGGACATTAACACTAAAAACTCCTAAAATTACACTTAAGTAATTAGGGTGAAAAATATTTTTATGACTAAACAAATTTTTTCAAGTCTTCTGTAAAGTAAAGATTTTATTAATTCTTTAGAACCACAAGAGCTGACATACAAATAGGGTATGATCTCCACACTCAAATATTTTTGATCAATTCTAAAGAATGAGCAACCAAAATGTGCCTTTTTGCTTCTTTAACTTGTAAATCTATTTCTTCAGATAAATTCAGACATAGTCCTATATAAATTATAAATATATATATTGCAAGCAAAGACCCAAATTATTTTACAAGAATCTTGCAAAACAAAAGTTACTTTACAACAGACAACCATCTTACCAGCCTGTTTATGCGAACAAATTCTTCTGGGGTTTTGGCCCATGGTGGAAGTTCAACATCAGACACAACTGTTCCATCATCCATCACTCCCAGGTTGTAATTGTTACTGTTGACAAATATCTCTGGGAGGTAATAAAATTCAGGAATCAATTCCTGTAGATAAATGAAAAACAATGCCATGTTATAAATTCTGTCAAGAGGATGCACTGCATCACGTTAAAAAATATTTACTAGAATGGCATTAGGGCAAGAGAATATACAAAATTCTCCCACAGACATCCCCCTCCTGCCTTAGAAGGGAGAAATCCTGCCTTTGGACTTTCTAAAATTTAAACCTTCAGATTTGATAAATCCTTAGCATGCTTTTAACATGACAAAGAACTAAGACACAACAGGCTACAGGACAAAAATGTCAGAACACTGGTTTTGACTGCGTATTATACACAGAGAAACTTATGAACATCACAAATTAATTATGAACAAGTAGTATTTAGTGGAAATAAACAGGCAACCAGTGATGTTAAGAAGTCATAGAAAACTGCTTCTTTCCCATTTTAATACAATCCACATTTCAAAGTGCTAATGCACTAATGGCACTCTACAGTTTGGGTGAAGCTAGCACCATAGATATTAATTACAAAGGTGTAAAACCTATTTATATTCTTATTCTCTTTAACATAATGGTTATAAGAACTTAATGTTTAGGCTATTATCTAAGATTGTTCAATGCCCAGAAATAATTTTTTTGGTAAATTCTAAAATCCCTGGAGTTATGCCACATGTTCCATTGGAAAAAAAAAAACAAACAAAACCAAAGCTGAACCAGGTCTATATTTTTTATTCATGGAAAGGTCATTAACTCAATTATGTGCCCAGGCATAATTTCACACACACGATGAGAGAAGGAAGGAATTTCACACAGTGACAAGGTCTGCACTAAATGCCTTGTCAGGATCATCAGTGCTCTAAACAAGTGTGCTCTACAGGCCTGTGCTGAACATGACTAGAACACAGCATTGACACCTCCCTGGTTGGCCTGCTCTGCCACCTCTGCAGGCACAGCTATGCCAAGCATGGTCGAGGCAAAAATGGAAACACATGCAGCACAGGAGTTGCAATTTCCAAGCAGAGAAACAAAGTAATAGTAATGGCTCAACAAAAATTTTATTAAGCGGAAAACGATACATCCTAGAGCAGAAAGGAACACAATATGCTAAGAAGCAAAATTAAGCTCAAACTCATAAGGATTTTTCTCCTGGATAAGTGGATTGTTTCCTTGTTTTGCAAACAGATATGCAACTTCCTAAGCATTTTATAAAATACTCAGTAGCACATAAACATACCTAAGTTAATGTGATTAGAACCTTATTTACACACTTTTATAAAAAAGTCTGCAAAGTCTTGGCATAACACTTCATAGAAAGAGCCGATTAAGACATAACATATATACTTCTGCCCTATATGTATTTTAAAGGTAGGCTGGTTTTTTTTGGTTTTTTTTTTTTTTGTGGAACTTGATGTTGAGACTTCAATACACCCAATAAAGCTGGCAATTTGATGGATTTAGAAAAATTGAGCCACTAAATTAGAGAATTTACTCCCTTTGTAAAGAAAGGATCAATACATGTAATTGCTTCAGGAAGTGTATTTCATAGCAAATGAGTGGTGTAAAATTGGTGTTCCATACAGCAAGTGCAAACTGCATGACACTTAAGAAGAAGAAGAAAACATCAGACTACCCCACTGGCTTTGTCTTCAGTGGGTGTAGGATGCAGCTACGCCAGAAGCTCAGCAGATCAGACCCGAAACCCAGTCTTGACATGGGTCAACGGATCAGTGGTCTCCCAGATAGCCCCTCAGGGCCAGCTATGGCATGAGCGGCTTTCCAAATGGCTGAGTGCAATAGGGAGGTCATCAGATTGCGGACAAGGTCAATCCGAAGTAGCCAGGGCAAAGACAGGAAAGATCAAGCAGGAATTAAGCTATTATCACCTCCATCCTTGTGTGAAACACTCCTTGGCTTTGAATTGTACCTCTCTTTGTTTACAGTCACCTTAATTAACTAGGCAGGGTAAAAACGTGCTTCTGTACCAAATGCTTGACAAGTACTTGATAAAAAGGGAGATTTGAAACTATTTGATTGTACAAGTGAAAGAACAAGAATGTAGCGAGGATAAACATTTGCAAAAAAGAAAGCAAACGCTGAAGTTGCTATAGTTTTTATTATCACAGACAGAAACCAACAAAGAAAAAGCAGAAAAGCACAAGACTCCTAATTTGATAACAGCGTGTACCACAAATATGAAACCATACCATGATTCTAAATACTTAAAACATAAGCTCATTACATATGTTACCGATGCTTTTATTTCTTCTTTAAATCTATATATCTGCACAGCTATTCATTAGTTTCTTTCAAGATCAGAAAACGTTCGGCTTTCTAGAACACATTGTTTTCATTAGATTACACAGAAACAATATGCTGTCTGGAAACTTCAAAATTACCAGTAACTTCTACTAGTTTGACTATTAGAAACTTTTCATAAAACTTTTCATTACTCCAGAAATGAGTTTTCAGAAAGTTTTTCACTGTCACCATAATGACATGTTTATACAAAAGGAACTTCTTTATTATGTGATTTTCTTCTCTTGACCATGTGCTAGCATTTATCCCTGGGAAAAATAGAGTGCAAACTTATACATAGGCATTGGAAATGAGTAGTATTTAGTGCCCATTTTCAATGGCTTTTTACCAGTAAAAATGAAACCATTAGTTAAAGGAAAATAGTTTTTCCTAAAACCAGCAAATTTTATTAACAAAATATTAATTTTTATCAAGCTTACAAATATTCTGCATGTATTTGTTAACTGCAATCCTTAACAGTCCTTCTCAACTCTGTGGGGTCTTTTTTCTTAACATCTTCACATCGCATGCACAGACTGACACTAGAACAGCAGATGCTGACTCGTGTGTAACTCCACTAACGATGGAACTTCTTGGACACACCGAAATGCTAAAAAGATTATTGAACACACTTTTTCCTTGTTTTTAATGGGTGGAGGAAGGAAGTATGAGTGTTTTCACACAAACATCACATGAAGATGCAGGACACGAGGGGCCAGTGTGAAGGATCATTTAATATCTCACCCAGAACAGCAACAAGGACTGGACTAACGCAGGGCAGAGAAAGTCTTTCCATGGATATTCCGTCAGCTTCTTACAGTTAAATGGTTTTGAACTTATCTGTCCTTCCGATTTTTAACTCATTAATCATGGGTTCCACACTGTAGTTTTGTCTACACAGGTTTTCCTCTGACTGTTCTAAAACTGCTCCCTAACAGTTTCAGGGGATGGTTCTAGTACCCATAATGTGAAACACAGTAAATGTTATTCCTTTATTTGCTCTTTTGTATGTCCTTGTGGATACTACAGACCAATATTGTCACATTCTTTCTCAGTGATCTCTTTTTGCAAGCTAAAGGATTCTAGTAATTTTAGATTTGCTCCCACTGGAGGTCTTCCCTTCCAACTAAAAATTCTGGTTGCCTTCATACTTTTTCTAACCCTATTGAGTCCCTTCTGAAATTTAGCCCACTCAGCATATGAACAGAAATAGTAAAATTGCCCCACATTTCTTTTATTGATATGATGTTGCAGAAAAACAAAAAATCTTTGTAATTTGTTGAAGCTCTTGCTTTAGCACAATTGTGTTTGAAAATTATTTTCTAAAATTTCTCTGTTGGAATTCTCCAGTTCTACAAGGTAGAGACAGACATGCTTATGAAAAGCAACACTTCAGTCCTTCTGCCATGTTTTTCATTACAACTGATCAAGGAGCTCACAGTAAACATCAACATCAGTCTAACACACGATATTTATAAGTGCTATATATTTTTTTAAAAAAGTTAAATAAAATTTGCCGTATCAGGATTCATCTTAAAATGTTTATAAAATTCTGTGAATAATTACAGTACAATTTTTCTCTAACAAAAACTGCCCTGTAACACATGGAAACAATGATTCCTAAGGAAACATCACTAAAAAGATTTCTCTACAAACACATAATATCAACAGAATGTCAGTTAAACACTGGTAATTTATTTCCACTTATGGCACCAGGTATAAAAAAATCTACACAAGATACTTTGTCTCTCTAATGCAATGATGTTATTCTTTTGTTTAGAAAATAAATTATGCATTTTGAAGCAGAGTTACATGACCTGCATTGGTGTCTAGAAACAATGACATCCCTAATCATATTAAAACATTTATAAGATAACAAATTTTCAAAGTAGATTATTTGACAATCATATTAAGCAATATTAAGCCTACGTATAACCTGTCAAACAGAATAATAAAAATGCATATTAGAAGTCTGAGTTTTTATTCATATTGCCACACTTTATTTCCTCTGTTAGGGGACTTAAATGGCATTCAAAAATATATATGAATTCATTAAATTAACTCAAATTTCATTTTTTCATCCCATGTCAATGAAATAATTTTCACAACTGTGGGAAAGTATAATTTCCAAGTACCCTTGAGTTTCCTTCCATCTGCTATATGTGTATTATTTCTCAATAGGAAATTGTCAACTAAGAGATTGTCTCAAGACATTGGCTGCAATTCTGCCAACTTGTAAGAAGAATACTTCAGCAGGTTTCCATTAAAATTCTAAATTTCATCATTGAAGAAATTAATTTTGTCAATGTTTAACCACTCTGGTTAAATTCTAAGCAATTATATTTTCAAATATTGCCTAGTTTAAGGAAAATATTAAAATCTGCTGTAATTTACAATTAAGCAAAGAAAAAACTCCAGATATTTATTTAGTAGAATAATGAAATATATGATAATTAACAATTAACAGTTGATTCATAATTGATCAGTAAGATTTTATTAAGTCTATACTTCATCGCATTAAAAAATGCATCTTTAAGGCACTTTAAATCCTGTTGGTTTATATATATATACATATATATATGTATATATATACAAAATTTTACCTTTTACTGAGAATATATGCAAAAGTATGCAATGGTATTTACTTACCACACATATACAGTAGGTAATATGTAGCTGAGGTTCATTTTCCAGAGAAAGAGGAAATAAGTTGTATATATAACTACATTCTTTTCTTCCATTTTTTTTT